GGTTTCTGACCTTGTCCACCCCAGTCCAACACTGGCACCTCCACATCAAGATTTTCAAAAAGAATTGAATGTGAGACAGAAGCAGTTTATACCCCTAAGGGGCAAGCACTCTACTTGACAAAAAGCAACAAAGATGGAAAAGATATAGGTACAGCACAAAGCTAAAAGAACAAGGCAAACAAAAGCACAATGAAAACAGCACAGGTGCTAGACCCAGGCAGGAAAGATACACAATGGACAACAAAACAGATTGTAAGAACTAGCAAAAAGTATGAAAAGGAACTTGTAAAGGATTTTAAAATCAGCACAATTTCTTTATGAAAAAGAGAGTGGCCAGGAGCAACAAAGACCCTTTGAAGGATGATAAAAATGAAAAGTTGTAAATGAGGGGCATGTTGAACAGTTTCAGTGGGAGAAGTTTGTGGGAGAAGAAGTCAGCATACCAGAACTTGTAATCATGAACGCATTCAAATTAACATCAGCAAAATGACAGGAATGAAGGAGAGAGGAACTCTAAAAAGTGCCAATTCCCCTGAAGCAAGTGCTTTTCCACCCCAGAGATTTTAAAGTGTGTGGATGAGAACATTGAAGGTATTCACATTGTGATTGTTCCAAAATTCTCTTCACTTGGAAATCATTCATTCAGATTAGAACATTATATATGTCATTCTGTTACAATCAGTAAGAACTGGGAGAGAGAGAAGCCAGAAGATTATAGAACATTAGCCTGTTAAATGGCTCAAGTCTCTAAGGATAGTGTGACTGAACATCTTGAAAACCTGTAGTTGGACAGAAGAGCAGAAGGTTTTGTAAAGGGCAAGTCATTCCTGATGAGTCTAATTGAGTTTTTTTGAAGAGGTCTCTAATGTAGTAGACATGGAATGTTAGCCCTGCCAGCTAAAATCTACACTTGCGGTACTGAGGGAAAATTATTGACCCGATTAAGAATTAGATGAGTAACAAGAGACAGAAATTACGGTTAATGGACAAATACACTGAATAGCAGGATGTATCAGCAAGGATCTGTGTTGGGACCTCAACTCTTCATAGCAGTTCTTAGCAACATAAGTAATGAGATAGAAAGCCACATAAGTAAATTTGTTGATAATAAGTCATGATATTCTGTTCTGATTTGCATATATCCAGGAGTGGGGCTGATTAAGATGTGTCATCAGCAGTCACTCACTAATGAGTATGATTGTCTACCTACAAAGTTCTGTGTCACTGGTCATGGGTTCTGTGTGTCCTTGAGGCTGATGAACCTGATCCTGGAGCCACATCCCCAACCACACATTTGACAGGTGTTTCCAGGAGATGGAAGTGATCCTTGGTCTGAAGATCACTGACATTCCTTTCTCCTGTTCCTTTTCCATGCTCACTCTTGCCGCTGGGTGCTGCTGAAGAATTGTGCCCCTTCATACAGGAGTTTCCTCCAAGTTAGTTTCTTCTGATTGAGGGTCTCCCCTGTATTGATATCTATATTGTATTTATTAAGGTCAGGGAGTCTTTGAGAAGAGATTACTTCTTTCAAAGGGTTGTGAATCTGTGGAATGCACTAGCCAGAGTGTAGTGGATGCCAGGAGACTGAATAAATTCAACGAGGCAGACAGAAGTTTAATTAGTAATGAGTTGGAAGGTTATGGGGAGTGGGCAGGAAAGTGGAGTTGACCCAAGATGAGGTCAGCCATGATAGTATTAAATGATGGAGCAGCCTCAAGGGGCTGAATTGCCTATTCCTGCTCCTAGTTCTTATATTCTTTACTCCAATATTGCTGGAAGATTTGAGTACAGGGGTAATGAGCTCTCACTTCAATTTCATAGAAGTTTGGTTAGACTGGAGTGTTGTGTACAACTTTGATCTCCTTCTCTCAAGGAAGATATTATTGCCATAGAGGGAATGCAATGAAGGTTCACCAGACTTGTTCCCGGGATGGTCAGATTGTCCTATCAGGAGAGTTTCGGCAAACCGGGTTTGTATTCTCCAGTATTATGAAGAATGGGAGGTGATCTCATTAAAACCAACAAAATACTTAAAGAGTTCCGAGGAAGGGTCACCAGACCCGAAATGTTAACTCTGTTTTTTCCTTCACAGATGCTGCCAGACCTGCTGAGCTTTGCCAGCAACTTTGTTTTTGTTCCTGATTTACAGCATCCACAGTTCTTTCGGTTTTTATTTAGTAAAATACTTAAAGAGATAGAGAGGGGAGTTGCAGGTACAGTATTTCCCCTGGGTGGGGAGTCTAGAACCAGGAAGCATAACGTAAAAACAATGGAGATGTCACTTAGGATTGAAATGAGGAGAAACCTTTTTAATCGGAGTGTTGTGAACCTTTGGAATTCTCTGTCATAGAGAGCTCCGAAGGCTGAGTCTTTCAGCATGTTTAAGGTTGAGATTGATAGATTTCTGATTATCGATGTTGTACAGGGTTATGGGGATGGGATCAGTAAAGGGCACAGAAGTGTTTGATCAGCCATGATCGTACTGAATGGAGGGACAGACTTAATCCTGTTCCTCTGTTCCTCTAATTTTGTCATAGAAACAAAAAAAATAGGATCAGGAGTGGGCTATTTGGCCCTTTGAGCCTGCTCCATCATTCAATATGATCATGGATGATCATCCAACTCAGTACCCAGTTCCCACATTCACCCATATCCTTCGATCCTTTAGCCCTAAAATCTATATCTAACATCTTCTTGGAAGAATTTAATGTTTATCTTTAAAATGAACTGCTGGATTCTGGAAGTGAGGATGTAAGGGAAGGAGACATTTGGTTTTGATACTCTGAAAGGTGCTGTCTTTCAGGTGAGTTGCTAAACTGAAGGCCACAAAGTGCCTTCTCAAGGTGGTGTAAATGATCCCAGGGCACGAACAATAAAGGTCTCCCAGGGCATGAACAATAAAAGTCTCCCAGTATCTTGAACTAATATTCATCCCTCAACCAACGACCTTTATTGTCTTCTTCTTTTAGAACAACAAAATTTTACATCTGTGGCTGTGTGAGGCTGTGTAAGATGTGTGACACATCTTGACGAGTAAAGCTCCTCATTCAGTGATTGTCACAAGTCTAAACTGCCTCAGATTTAAAATCTTTATCCCAATTTCTCTGTGGCCTTACCCCTCCCTTACTCTGAACAATGGTATTTTGGCGAGACCATGCAGACTCTAAGACAACGGATGAATGGACACTGCACAGTAATCACCAGACAGGGATGTTGCCTCCCAGTGGGGGAACACTTCAGTGGTCAAGGACATTCGGCCTCAGATCTTCGGGTAAACGTCCTCCAAGGCAGACTTTGGGATACACAACAACACAGGATCGCCGAGCAGAGGCTGATAGCCAAGTTTGGTACCCATGAGACCGGCCACAACTGGGATCTTGGGTTCATGTTGCACTACAGGTGTCCCCACTACACTATATACTTTCACACAAGCATACGTACACACACACACACACACACACTCTCTCTCTCTCTCACACACACACTCACACGCACACTCTTTCACACACACACACTCTCCCTCACACACGTACACGTACACACACATGTGCACACACATATGTATAAATCTATGGAGTGAATTTGCATTTGCAGATACATTCTATTTTGTTCAAAAAGTACGCAATTTCTAGACACAGTCAGTCAATGGTGCATTTTATAAATCCCTGCTTTGGAAATAAAACCTGTCTGACTCCAGGTTAAAATACAGACAGATTCTAAATACAGCCTCACACCTAAAATGCATTGTCTGACCCGAGATGTCACCTCTTGTATACACTGATAAAACCTTTTGTTATCTTGGGGCAGTGGCTTGAGAGAAATTCTGGGATTTGCATTTTAATCAATCGAAACCTGAATCTCCTTTCTAACTGATTAAAGATTTAACAGGAGGGAGTCAGCCAGCCATTTTAGGTTTATTCAATACATTTGCATCAATTGTATCATCCTTTGCTCTTTTACTTATAAATTCTGTGTCTTGATACCTCCTCTCTCACTACACCTGAGGAAGGAGCAACACTCTGAAAGCTTGCGATTTCAAATAAACCTGTTGGACTATAACCTGATGTCATGTGATTTTTGATCTAATGCAACCCAGTCCAATACTGGCACCTCCACATCATGTTTAAGAGCATAAGTAATAACGAGCTGGAGTAGTCAATACAGTTCCTCGAACCTGCACAGCTATTTAATGCAATTAACATGGGCTTTAACTCCAACTTTCCATCCTCTCCTATATCTCCCAATTCCAGAGTTTAAAAACCAGTGGGAAAACACACCAATGCTTCATTGGAGGCTGCACTGAGGATGTTACCCAGCAGGGTAATGAAACGTCTGCGAAACAACAAACCAGCTCAGCGAGCCAACCAACATCAACACGATTGGCCCCTCATTCTGAGACTGTGAACCAACCCCTCATCTCCCCCACCACACACAATTTAGATTCCCTGACCAGGGGAAATAATCTCTCAGCATTGACTCTTCAAGCTCCTTTAGAATCTGTGTTTCGATCACATTGCCTCTCGTTCTTCCAAAGTTCTGAGAGTAACAGAACAATTTACGCAGCCTCTCATTAGCCACCCCAGATGTCGACCCTCCTATAATTCTGTCCTGTTAATCACTTCACCATTGGCAGGTCAGGCTGGTAGCTCTGGAATTCCCTCTGTAATCCTCGCTACTCTTCCGTCTTCATTTCAGGCTTTTCTTCAAACATAGAAAATGGAACATAGAACAGTACAGCACAGGAATGGGCCCTTTGGCCCATGATGTTGCGCTGAAATGCCGCAAAATTAAATCCCTTCTGCCTGCCCTTGGTCCATATCCCTCCATTCCTTCAAATGTACCTCATTTATTTATCGGCCTCAATATTTCCTTCTGTGGTCCCGTGTCAAATGTTGCCTGATTATTCTGCTATGGGATGTTTTGCCACATCAAAGGTACTGTATAAATGCAAGCTGTTGTTGTGAGCTCTGACATTTTCTGTAATTGTATTTCCACTTCAGATGATGACACAATGTGTGCTTCCATATGATCAGCAGGGGCTGTGTTTGTAAAGTGACTTCATCAAAACTCTAACAGCGTGCATCGTGGCTTGACCTCAATCTCGCGATGAGTTCATCCGCTATAGGATTCTTCACCTTCGGTATGTAGTGGAAATGAAGCCCCCTCCACCCCCCTCACTTCCTCCCCTGTATTGATCGAAATCGATGCCTGGAGGAAGAGAGGTTTTACTGAGCACAAAAAGGGACCAGGTTCCAGAAAGAACAATGTATATTTCCACCTTGTGTGCCATGTCCTGTTTAAATAGAACTGCCATCAGTGGTTGTTTCCCCAAATCTCTTCCCCCTCTTTGATACTGAACTGTTATTGGATGGTTTCAGTCACAAACAAATCACCTCAGTGTCTAGCTCCCCAAAACTCACTTATCCCACTTCTGTGTGCCTTTTCATTTTTTTTTCACAAGCTACCATCTAATTCCTTTCTTCAACAGATTGAAGAACATCACTTTCATTAATTGTTTTTTTTTGTGGAGAATCTTCACTTTCTAACCAGTCACTGTTGTGGAGTCAGTATCTGTGGAGACAAGTAGAGTTAATGGGTTGAATTTCACTGCAGACAGGTTTGGCAGAGGCTGGCGATACGGTGCTTGATGGAGGGGAGGTTCAGGTTGATGATGGCAGAGACAGTTTCCTGGTGCTGACCTGCCTCAGGGTGAGCTTCCTGAGAGAGGACTGTCATGGAAATCTGTTCCCCACCACTAAGGGGGTCAGGCAGTTTTCAAAAAGTCCCAGCAAGAACCAGAATCTGACGGCACATTCCTACTGTTGGGAACGGTGGCCTCGTTGAGGTGGTCTCCCCAGTGTAAGGATGGAGGACATTCAGAGTCTCCTGTCAATGGCCCAATATAGGTCACAACTACAGGCAATCCCTTATTGGTGAAGGACTTTACTGAATGCTCAGTGACCAGGAGATGCCTTTCATTCCCTGCCCCAGAATCAGACAGTGATTAGGGTTAGGAGCCCAGCGGGAGTCTCCTGAAGTTTCTAGCCAATGAACCTTTGGAAGCCTCGTTCAAGCTAGCACCGCACAGAAGCTACCTGACCTATTCCTTGCCTCCTTGTTTGTCTGTTCTCATCTCAGCTTCAAGTGTCCACAGTATTGTTCTTTTTTATGAGGTGTGAACAGTAGCAGAGTGGATAGCACTTGTACCTCCAGGACCCAAGCTTGAGGGTTCAGGATCTGGGACAGATAGGCTCAATTGTCAGGGTGGCACGGTGGCTCAGTGGTTAGCACTGCTACCTCACAGCATCAGGGATCTGGGTTCGATTCCACCGTTAGGTGACTGTCTGTGTGGAATTTGCACATTTTCTCCGTGTCTGCATGGGTTTCCTCTGGGTGCTCTGGTTTCTTCCCACAGTCCAAAGATGTGCAGGTTAGGTGGATTGGCCATGCTAAATTGCCTGTAGTGTTCAGGGATCTGTAGCTTAGGTGGTTTGTAGGGGGATGGGTCTGGGTGGGATTCTCTGAGTGTTGGTGTAGACTTTTTGGGCTGAAGGGCCTGTTTCCACACTGTAGGGAGTCTAAATCTAAATCAGCATCTAATAACTGAACTACAATTCAGGTCTAGGCCTAGAGCTGGAGGGGACTGTCATTACTGAATATTCCCGTGGTCTTCTGGAGCACAAAATGCACATTGAGATTCCCAGTGCAGTACTGGGGGTGTGCTGCGTTGTAAAAGGTTGTTGTCCATCAGATAAGCATTAAGACCAGGCCCTAGCTCTCTTACCAAGTAGATGTACAATTTCTCGTGGCACTATTTGGAGAGCAGCAGAACTCATCCTGGTGTCCTGATCAATATTTGTCCTCCATCATTACTGGAAACTGACGACCAACTCATTTTTATCATTCCTGTCCGTAAGTTGCTGCATTTCCTACACTCTAGCAGCAAGTCTCTCATTGGCTGTGAAGGGCTCGGAGCTGATCTTCTGACATGAGAAAAAGGTGACAGGAATTGAAGTTCTTTGAGGAATCAGTTTATCTTTCAGTTTCTACTCACGATGAGTCATTTTGACGGCCAGTCCTCAGTACGTCCTCGGAGAAGCCTAGGCTCTTGAGATTCATGGCTATAAACTGCAACTTCCACCATTTTTTTAGGTTAGCGCTGAGAAAATGTGGGCATTTGTGGCTGAATATTCCAAATCTACCCACCTGGCACAGAATCCCAGCCCTTCAGGCACGCCAATCAGGAGACCACATGGCTGTGATCTTCCATCCAATAATACTCACTGGGAGAGTTTTGTGGCTAAGACGAGGGCAGAGAGCAAGTGGTCAGGAGCTGTCTGGCATTTTACAGCATGCTGTCCTGATGGGCAAGGGATCCCACTGTGCGGAGTTAGCTAGTGCAGGTTATACAAGCTGAGGCTGAGTGAGTACTAACAGTTGTCTGTCTTTCCGTTGCAGTCCTGTTGCTGACTTCAGTGGGAGGCATAAAAGAGAAGGGACGGAAGAGTAAACGAACACGTAGGTGAACATGTCTGACCTCCACCTGACTCCTTCCCATGGACAGGGTCTATCCAGCCCTTCTCTTGTACAACAGGCACAGCCAGCTGGGGTCCTCTTCTGGGAAAAGAAACATTGTGCCTCTCAGGAAGAAAAGCAAATAGGCTGGGCCGGGGATGAGGGGTTGGGTTGGAAAGCTTAGTTAAACTTATATGAAACTTTGAATAGGTCACACAGGACCGTACACAGTTCCAGTTAACATAGCGCACCATGATTCAGAGACACTGGTGAAAGTTTCTGATGGTGAATCAAGAAGTAAGAGAGCCTCAATAGGCTGCAACTCTTTACTCCTGGAACAGAGGAGACTGGGAGGAGACCAAATGGAGGTCTTCAGCACTGTGCTGTGGTTTAATGGAGAAAATATTCCACTTATGGGGATGTCCTTCAAATAGCAGCCATAAATATGCAGCTGCATCTAATCCCAATCAGGAATTCTGGAGAAATCTGTTTTGAGGTCATTCCTGGACCTAGGACTGATCAGAACTGGAATAATGTTCAAGGTGGGAATAACTCAGTGTTGGGTATAGATTAATCATGAACTCTCCTGCCTTCCCACCTTCCTGTTATCACTCCGTGCTTTGATTCTGATACGATAATTCTGTTTTAATTCTGTTTGGGTGAGTAAATGGGTTTTAAGTGAATTTGCGTTTTGTCTTCACGGTCTGTCTGTGTTTAATTCCCCAGCGGTGCCTCAGATAGACTGTGACATCAGAGCAGGCAAGATAAAGGTGTCTGAGTTTGTAGCCCGGTGCCCACCAGGATGTCTGGGCACGCAGCAGGCCGTGTGGGGCACTGACATCTATGCATCCATTTCCAGTGTGTGTGGAGCAGCTATTCACAGGTCAATACTTCTGCAGTTTTGTAATATTTCTCTTTTTTGTAAGGGTTTACAAGTGTCATTTCTCTCCCTGGAAACATTGACCATCTTATCTTGGGGTCAACCTGTTTAGATTCACGAAGGCACCAGCACAGAGGGAGGCCATTTAACCCATTGCTAGATTACTAGATCGGTATGTGGGACTGAATGGTCATCCTATGGGGAGAGATTAAATAGTTGAGATTGAGTACTCTCTGGTGTTTAGGAGAATGTGAGGTGAGCTGATTGAAATGTATAACATTTCCTAGAGGTCTTGACAGGGAATTAATAAAGAGGACATTTTCTCAAGCTGGACAGCTGAGAACCATAGATCATAAAATAAGAACAAGGACCAAAATGGGAAATACAGTTCTCTATCGAAGTGAGCTGTAAATGCTCCGTTCCTGAGTATGTTCAAGACAGAGACCAGGAGTTTTTTAGCTCCTAAAGGAATCAGGTACTAATAGTGGGGAAGCGTAGAGCCTAGTGGATTCATGAGGTTATTGAATGACAGAGCAGGATTGAAGTGCCATATCGTTCTATATCTTATGTTCTCACATTATCCCTCACCTTTCACCCTTCTTTAATTTCAAAAATGTACTTTATTCATAATAAAATCTTTTTATATATATGTATATATTAAATATATATACACATAGTCATATACACATACACATACATATACACAGATAGTCACAAACGCGGTTCGGTTCTGTCCAATAGCATATGAAGAAAACAAGCAAACACTGAGGTTTGATTTTTGAACAAACAAACCAAAGGCATCTTCTCAGAGATAGTAGGAACTGCAGATGCTGGAGAATCCGAGACAACAAGGTGCAGGGCTGGATGAACACAGCAGGCCAAGCAGCATCATAGGAGCAGAGAGGCTGACGTTTCGGGCCTAGACCCTTCATCAGAAAAGAGGGAGGGGAAGGGAGTTTTGAAATAAATAGGGAGAGAGTGGGAGGCGGATAGAAGAGGGATAGAGGAGCGGATAGGTGGAGAGGAAACAAACAGGTCGAAGAGGCGGGGATGGAGCCAGGAAAGGTGAGTGTAGGTAGGGAGTTAGGAAGGGGATAGGTCAGTCCAGGGAGGACGGACAGGTCAAGGGGGCGGGATGAGGTTGGTCGGTAGGAGATGGAGGTGCGGCTTGAGGTGGGAGGAGGGGATAGGTGGGAGGAAGAACAGGTTAGGGAGGCAGGGACGAGCTGGACTGGTTTTGGGATGCGGTAGGGGGAGGGGAGATTTTGAAACTTGTGAAATCCATCCCCGCCTCTTCGACCTGTTTGTTTCCTCTCCACCTATCCTCTCCTCTATCCATCTTCTATCCACCTCCCACTCTCTCCCTATTTATTTCAGAACCCCCTTCCCCTCCCCCTTTTCTGATGAAGGGTCTAGGCCCGAAACGTCAGCCTCTCTGCTCCTATGATGCTGCTTGGCCTGCTGTGTTCATCCAGCCCTGCACCTTGTTGTCTCAAAGGCATCTTCTACTTGAAGCAGACTATATTTACTTTACACGGATTTGAGGCACCAGGAGGGTCCAATAACTGAACGGACCCCCATCTCACTTTGGTAGGAAGACCTCAGACAGTGGTCTTTCCCCACTGCGCCTGGCAGTGCCCTAAAGTTTTAGTGTGTCCCTCAGCACATAGTTCTGGGCCTTGGAATGTGCCAGTCTGCAACACTCGGTCAGGGTCAACTCCTTGTTCTGGAAGACGAACAAGTTTCAGGCAGACTGAAGAGTGTCCATTCCTCAGCACCTTCCCCAATCAGCGTTTGAGCCATCTCTTTCAAAGACTGAGTCTCTGAGGCTCTGCTTCTCGCTTATTTCTGTGTTCCATGATTTGGAGAGATTTGTTTTAATATCCTATAAGCTTTTCTATGACATGTTCAATCTATTTTAAATTTCCCAGGTAAAACCATAATTCTTGAGTGTTCCTTTACAGCCTCTTGCAATGGCTCAGTGTATCCAATGGAAAATATCCTGAGATTGATAGATTTTTATTGGGTGAGGCTATTAAGGATATTGACTAGGTCCTGGGGCTGTTGTCACCTCTTATTTCCAAGAACCATACATTTGACAATTTGGTCCTGTTCAATCATCCTTTCCTGTAACTGTAATTTATTCCAAAATTTCTGCATTCCTCCAATCCGGGCTAATTGTCACTTCTCCAATTTTAATCACCCACCTCAGTGATAACTTTGTCTTCCTCACTCCCATTTAAGATGATTCTTTACAGCTTAATCTTTAAAGCCAGCTTCTGGTTACTATCCTTAATATCTTTTTATGCACTTCACATCAGATTTTGTGTAATAACTCTTCTGAAGCATTTCTGAGGGTTTACTACATTAGAGGCATGATGAAGAGTTGTGAGTGTTTGGAATTCCCTACAGCAGAGGACTGTGGAGGTTTAGACGTTGAGTATATTTAAGGTAGATATTGACAGATTTCTGGTTACCAATGTTGTGAATGGATATGGGGCTGATGTGGGAAAATGACATTGAGATGAATAATCAGATATGATGGTATTGAATGCCAAAAAAGACTCAATGGGCTGAATGGCCTACTCCTGCTCCTACCTTCCTGTGCAAGTCGGGAATACAGTGGAATGGATGAGTGCGGTGATCTTGGAGGGTGGTTGGGCTGGAGGGAGCTGCCGAGATAGGGAATGGGTTTGAGAACGTGGATGAGAATTGGAGCAGACAGCTATTAACGAGCCCACTGTCTGTTGTAGTGGTGTCATCGACAACAGCGGAGGGAAGATTCATGTGCGGAAGGTGCCCAGCAGCTCCAGTTACAAAGGGACTTTCTCCTATGGTGTTCGATCCCTGTCGCTGCCCAGGTGGAGAGAGTCTTTTGTAGTGTCAGGTAAACACTTCCAAGCTTCACATTAAATTAACAAACTCAAATTGAAGGCTGTGCTTCGTTTACTTGATTCATGATCATATCATTTGGTATTTGGCAACAAGAAGTAAGATTAAAGTACGCGATAGGTTGTTTCTGCTTGCTAGCTCTTATTGTAAAACCTCACTCAAAGGGGGAATTGATCAAAGAGTCAGACATAGATGTCAAATCAAGCTCCTAATTCCAGTCATTGCAATTAATGAGAAGGAAATGCAAAAACCAAGTCTTGCTTCCATGATCAACACCCAGTGGATGGGAGGTTCACCTATCCTGCTTACACTTAGCAAAGAAACTCCCTCCCTCTAAGATTCACTTTGACCCAAACTCTCCCTTCTTACAATCATTTCCTGCCAGAATTCTGTTGATTCTAAAGTGTACTTTGTGCACCATAACTGCCTTGTAACCTAACTAACTTCGTTTTCAACTAAATAGTCAGGTTTGTCAACTTTGGTTGGATGTACATCATGTGATCTCTTGTCTCTAACCACGCTTCTTGGTCCAACTACCTTTCATAATCTCCATTATCCTTTCGAACAGAAATCTTCAACGAAGATGATTTGTCTCCTGGAGCTTTTGCTCACTCTAGTATCCAAGGGGTTTTACATTCCTGGAGACTCCTGGAGTGTTGGTAACTTGGTAAATGATCCTGTTTTACCTTGTGTAATTATGAAGACTTGTTAGCTATCTGTCAAAACCAAAATCATTGTCAGACATGTCTCCTTTCCACTGACAATAAACAGAGGCCCCTTCTGCATTCTCAGATGGGTGTAAAAGATCCCGTGAGTTTATGAAGAGGATCCAGGTACGCTCCTGGTTTCTTGGCCAATATTTATGCCTCAGTCGCCATCACAACAAAAATTTCATCTCATTTCCTGTGTGTGGAATCTTGCTGTGAGCAGATGGGTTGTTGCATTTCCAATCCTTGGAAGTGACCTGTCGGTCAGAGCAGCTATTGATGAAGAGATCAAGCACAGCCTCCAGTGTCCTAACACAACCTTAAGCCACCTGAGCAAAAGGGTGTTCGAGAGCAACAGCATCAGATCCAACACCGAGATCATGGTTTACAGAGCACTCCCACCCTACTGTAAGTCTCTGAGATGTGGACTCTCTACAGCAGACTACTTAAGGTGCTGGATAAGTACCACCAACACTGCCTATGCAAGATCCTATGAATCCACTGGGAGAATGATGCAGCAACACCAGTGTCCTCATCCAGGCCAACATCCCCAACATCAATGCGCTGCCCACCTTTGGGCTGGGCATGTCACCCACATGACCGACTCCCCAAGCAGGTGCTCTACTCCTAGCTTTGAAACGGCAGGAGAGCTCCAGGTCAGTGATACCTTCAAGGCCTCATTCCCGAGCAATCACTGTCCCATGACCACCCAACGTGGGGGAGCAGCGTCCAGGGAGGTGTCAAGCACCTCAAGACTTACCGTCGGGAAAGACTGGGAGCCAGGTGAAAACAGCGAAAGGAGTGTGCTGCCACACCAACGCCCCACCTACCCCTTCCCATGACCACCATCTGCCCCAGGTGTAACAGAGCCTGCAATAGCTGCATCAGTCTGTACAGGCACCTGCAGGCTCACCCTATGAGTTAAAGAGAGTCATCCTCATCTATGAAGGACCCGCTGATGATGATGATGATGATGATGCGTTTCCTGTTACATTTCATTGCTCTGGAACATTTGTGAATTTGTTAAGCTCCTTGTTTCTATGGCAATGTGTAACTGTGTAGTGATGTTGAAGTGAATGTCATGTGTCTGTGTTGATTATGGGATGCCCTGTCTAGGAGCACCACCCAGAGACTGTACAATCCAGTTATATTCCTGGTGAGGGCAGGAGTCAAAAGTAAGATTTGCATTTATATGTTACCATCACATCCTTAAGACACTGAAACCACTTTACAGCCAGGTATGTACTTTTGTGGAAGTGTCGGGCACTCAGTCAATGCACAGCAAGCTCCCACAAACAGCAATGCAATAATGAGTTGATCATCTGTTTTCGTCATCATAGAATCCCTACAGTGTGGAAACAGGCCCTTTGGCCCAACATGTCCACACCGAACCTCAGAGCATCCCACCCAGACCCATCCCCCTATAACCCACCTAATCTACACCTCCCTGAACACTACGGGCAATTTAGCATGGCCAATCCACCTAACCTGCACATCTTTGGACTGTGGGAGGAAACCGGAGCACCCAGAGGAAACCCACGCAGACACGGGGAGAACGTGCAAACTCCACACAGACAGTCGCCCGAGGGTGGAATCAAACCCAGGTCCCTGGAGCTGTGAGGCAGCATTGCTAACCACTGAGCCACCATGCTGCCCTATCATGACTGAAGGATAGGCATTGGCCAGAACACTGAGGAGAAACTCTCCAAACCTTCTTCAAGCAAGAGTCCTGGATTATTTAACATCCACTTGACAGTAGAGAGGATAGACAGGGGCCTCAGTTTATCACCTCACCTGAGAGGCAGCACCTTTGATAGTGTCGCACTCCCTCAGTACTGCACTTGAATGGCTGCTTTTGATTTTTGTGCTGAGGTATTGGGAGTGGCTTAAGCTCAGAAGCTTCTAGACATAGAGGTGAGAGTGCCAACCACTGAGCTATGACAAACCCATCTGAGATATAACTCTGAGATAACAAGGTGTAGAGCTGGATGAACACAGC